AGATATAATTCTAAATTGCTTAGATGTTATAGTAATAGGGATAAACACCTCACATTTCAAAGCTGAATCACTTCATTAAAGAAGAGCGAACCTGTTGGAAATAAGACGCAAACTCTGGGAAAAAACACACCCCGCTCCAGCCATCAGCTAGAATTGGAACATCATCTGGCTCACAAAGCAGATCCAAAGCTGACGGTGGTGGTGGAGGAAGAGGAGCTGCATCCGGTGATAATTGTGCGTCGCTGTCCAACCCGCCACTTGCACCACTACTACTAGAACTTCTTGAAACAGTAGCATGCGTCGGCACGTTAGGGTGCCCGGAAAATGGGCCATGTGAATGTGGAGGCCGCTCTGAACAGAACAGACATACAAAAAGTCCATAAACTTCCTCGACATGACTGCACTTTTCAAGGCTGACCTTCGGATAGTGAGGCAGTAAGTGAACGATTCGCAGATGCATTTACTGATCCACCGCTTGCCCTCCGCTGCGGCGTAGAATGGATTCCGTCCACACTGGTTGTACTGCCCGAAGATCGTTTCCGCCATTCCCCCGAAACAGGACGTGGTTGTCGATCGCCGCTTGCAAATGGAGGTAGAGGCAAGTGTGACGAAATCGCCCGCGAAAGCTGCTCACTGCGTGACAAGCGTGGGTCAGGCAATTTCAAGCTAGCCTGAACAGAATTCATTCTTCGCGGATAAGGATGGAAAAAAGACGATGCACTCACGAAATCTGAGAATACGCAAGGATTACGCAGCAGCTCGCTCCACGGCCATTTTCCAGCCCGAGTTCGATGTGGCGGTTGAGAAGATGGATGAGGGCGTGCATGTTGTGATGACTGACCATCGACAGAGTGCCTTTTTTGAGATGGGTTTGTAGTACCACAATTTGAAGGAGCGGCATTCGATGGTCCTGGTCCCGATGAGAGCGACTGGTGGCGATGCTGGGCGGAAATTGACTGAAATTTTAGCCTAACATTTGTAAAGTACGCAACTAATGAGAGAAGAACTTCAGATAAGTTTGGAAAAAAAA